GCAATGTTACCTGTGAGTCAAACTGAATTATTGAAGTTATGCAATCTCACAACAGGCTGGATCCTAGTGAAAGGATTCCAAAGCAGAACTTTTATTAAAGGACAAAACTGAGTTTGTACCTATATCACCTAGTTCAATGTGATGTATATTTCAAAAGTTAGGGAAGACATGATTCAACTTTGTATCGGCCAAAAGTCCCCAGTAAAGAGCTGGATGAGTGGATGCATGAACAACTGGCTGTGCAGTGTGCTACTGTGCTAAAATATCTGCTAAGAATTTATTCATTTGGTCAGTCTTCTAAAACATTAGAACTGTCCACCAAGCTTTGCTTTGCTCCCCCCACCCTGAGAAAGCTTCTTTCCCCTCTTCCCACTAGTACGCTTCCGTTTTCTTCTACCTTGTGCTCCTAACTCAGTCGACACAAAGCATCCCATCTAACTTCAATGTGCAGCAGTCTGGCCTCATTTCCATGACTTTTTCTCCATGACTGTCCTCACTGCTCAAGGGTGTCATGGCCCTCAGAGCAGACTCCTCTGTCCCCCTCCGACCCAGGGCACTCAGGATAAGTACTCAGTGAGGAATACATGGCCTGGTTTCTTCCCTTTCCAAGCCCAGGAAAACACCACAGCCACTAGACAGACTACAGCTGAGCAGTGCCACTGCCTGCTCCAAAGCTTGGAGCTTTATCTTACTATTAACTAATAAATTCTGGAATTTCTAAGGAGGTAGGAACTCTGAGATCCAGTGCCAGTACTAGAGGGTTTTTCTTTGCCTTCTCCTTCTGCATCCTCACCCCTTGAAAAGTGTATATCCTTTAATCCACTCATCTTACTGCTTGAAATGTTCCCTTCCAGAAAAAAAGCTAAAATAAATAAATGACTGCATGCATCAATTTAGTCACTGCATTGTTTCTTACAAAAAGCGGCCACTATCCAAATGCCTTGGAACCCCGTCTTTAAATAAATAGTAGCACATCAGCTGAGGGTGTACTGAGCAGAAATACAATATAAAAATCAAGAAATCAATAAATTTGGAAAAGATCTATTATTATGAGTGTAATAAAATAATGCAATGCCATTTGCATGTATGTAAGCATAGAAAAATGAAAATAACCAATGTATAATGTTAGGCAGCACATCTCTTGTTTATACTGTTCTTTAAGAAACTAGGGTCAGCCTACGTCACATACAGACTTCTACCTCTTCCGTATCTTTATCTCTGGAGTTTTGCAAAAGCAAGGGGCCTTATAATTATGACGCAGAGTTTCCAAAAGGTCTTAAATTACCCTAAATCCACTATGTTAATCCAGAAGTGAACCTGAACTCTGCTGAGAATTGCAGTTATAGTAAAAGAGTTTCTGGAAAATCATCAGTTAAGTTCAATTAATCAAACCTCTCCACGGTGCACTCTAGGTTCTACCTTGTTGTGTACAGGATGCCCAAGAGCAGACGGGTTTTGTGTCACTTTCTTTGATTCAAGGTGTGTGTACAATTACAGACCACGTGACTCAGGCCTGCAAACTGAATGGGAACCAAGCAGCTGAAGTCCAGACCAGTCCTCTGAACAGGAGAGTCTTCTGCTGGTTTGCTTTCTGGTTATACTGAAGCTTCATATGGATCTAGCTGTGGATAAGTACAAGCCAGAATAGCTCTGTGACTGACTCGTTCTCATTTCAGAATTCTGGCACTAAAAAAATTCTAGTACTAATCAGCATTAATGCAAAGACTTCACATGTCTACCAAATAATAGTACACTTTGTAGTGGGACAACTTACACCCAAGTTCCCGGGCTCATTTATCATCTTTTTCTGTGATCCCATAACAGTTCTTTGGAACTGAGAAAGAAGATAAATGGATCCCTGAGAAACAAATATTTACAAATGCCTTTGAAAATGCTTTTTAAGTAGGAAAGAAAATATTCTGTTATCTATGCTGATCATATGAGAATTCACAACTCAGGGTCAAGTAGAGTGTGTGCTATTCAACCTCATGGTCGTTTTTGCAAATAAAATCAAATGATCCAATATTTCAAACTTAGAAGTGAAATTCCAAACCTAGTCATCTTTTTACTAATTACAAAGGAAATGCTAACTTCCTGTTTGCAAATAAATTATCTAATACGTGGATCACCTAATAATACTTTATTTCCTGTTGTGCTCCCTGTACCTGGCCCTTGAAAGCAAATGGAGATAAACTGCAAAAATATCAAAGTAAATTCTACTCTGAGTTTCCCACGAGCCCAGCACACACGTGCTGTCAGTATACTTTCATTCTTCATAGAATAAGAAACATTTCTTCCCAATGAAATAGTAAAGTATTTGGATAACTGAGTAAAATAACCAAGAACCGGTTTCGCCGCCTGCTGTGCAAGTGCAAGGACCCGAGTTCGATCCCCGGTACCAAAAAATAAAATAAAATAAAAATAACCAAGAGCCTGGAGTTTTCAGGCAACTGATTATACACCAAGAGGCACAGAGAAGCAAACACATCAGCGCCCTGAGCCCAGCAAGATGTAACAGCAAGGGGACCACAGGTTCTGGGCTCCGTCTCTGGGGAAGCAAGTCAGGTCCTGACACGGTGTGTCCGGGGCTCTCACACAAGTGAATCAATGCCAAACACATCACACGAAAATGCGGAGCAGGGACTAGGCACCGGGCTCGCTGCTGTCAGCGTTGCTTTGGTCCTTTCCTGGTTATTCATCTGTCCAGGAGACTCTGGGGGCCTGGAAGAGTCTCAAAGCACCAGAAAGGCACAAGACGGCAGGCAGAGAGTGGTTCCATCGGAGACCCCAGGCCAGCACTTTCAATAAAGATGTACACCCACACACATGCGTGCACACAGGTCCGCTTAATGGCCTCAAAATCAGATAATCGCTAAGGGTGTTTGGGAACAGCTGCTCATCAATGTTGCATTAAAGCGATTCATTGGAGCAGCCTGTGATTTAAGTGTTGTTTTTTAAAATTATTTTTTCCTTCTTTATTTTTCTAATATGGTAAACCTATCCAACCTATCTGCATTATGTTGCCTCAATCCAGAAATGAATGATAAAGATAAGAAACTAATTTGAAATGTAAACAGGCACCCAAGCTGGAGGAGGGAGAAGAGCAGAGCTGAAGGCAGACCCAGTGGACCAAAGTTGCCCACTGGCTGTGCAGGGCACTGCTCCCTGCCACGTGGGCATCTCAGGAAGAGGTGGAGGTGCTGCGCGTCCTTCCCTCTGTCCTGCACCTGCTCCCTGCTCCCAACAGGTACCCCCTTCAGTCGCTCTGAGACCCAGCCTCCTGGTGACAGGGGAAACAGAGAACTCTCCCTGGGGCTGGGCTGCGTCTTCACACACTTCATACTGAAAGTGCATTCATTTTTCACCCTAAGGTTAATGAATGCACCTTATCAACTTCACATAATACCAGTAAAGTAATTTTCTGAGACTACACCAGCTCTAAGCTAAGGCTATGACATCAGTGGATGAACGTTTCATGATCCATTTAAAGTTTTAGTTCATAATCTATAAACTGGATTCTTAATGTTAAAAGAATGGAAACACTGAGATCGAATCCTTTGTGTAAAGTGTACACAGTCATTTTAGCAAGTCCTCCGACTTCAGGTTTCTCAGGGGAGGTAATTTTACCTAACACTGTCTAATGTCTCCAATAAAGTATTTCTCAAGAAGGAAGCGAAAAGCCCCAACTCAGTCCCTGCATTTGCAGTCCTGAGCCACCCCTCTCCTGGCCTGCCCTTCCACTCTACACCTAGGGTTGTGCTTAGTTTCCGTGGACTGCAGGCCGCATGGGGACAGGAATGGTGTCGGGACATCTGACCACACTTCTCGGGCACAGGTGAGCAGTCCTCCCCGCAGACTGCCACTCACCATCTCAGCTCGTTCACTGCTGGACCCCTGCATTTCTCCACAGAACCCCTATCACTGATGAAATGGAATTTCAAAAAGAGCTCCAAGCAGCAGCTGTCCACTGCAGTGTAACCCAAAGCAGTGTCTCAAAAATCGGAGTAATCTACCTGTCCTACACGAAAAGGGAGTATGCAGACATTCAGTACGAACCAATTAAATATACATAGAGTACCTATAGAGCCCCTACTAGCAGAAGGGCTCACAATAAAGCTTTCTTCTGTGATGTGCAGCACACACACACACGTGTCACAACTGTCCATCACAGATGCCCAGGGGAGGGGCCGAATGAGAGAACAGATGTTAGCTACATTCTCTTCCTATTACATTTAACTTCATGTATAACACCTAAAACAAGTATGTCAAAAACTAAATTTATCCACTTTCCTATGCAAATGCCATAGAGCATTACTGTCTTTCTTTTCTTTTTAACTTCAAGAGAAAGCATCGAAGTATTTGTGAATTTCAGATTCACTGTACTTACACAGCAAATATTTGTTGAAAGAATTAAACACTAAAATCAGAGAGAAAAGAATACTCAGAACCACTGTGAGTAAGCACGGTAATAAAACTGGTTTTTACATCTATGTGAAAACAGACAGCAGTATATTCCATAAAATGATGGAATCACCAGCTCCCATCTGAGAGTCAGAAGCGGGTCTCCACACCTACCGTACCACTCCTTCCGGAGTGTGCATCCCCATTTCCCTACTGCACCACCCTCAACTGCAAAGGCACATGAGGGAGCTAGATGTGGTCTGTCATTCTTTCCTGAACCTATGTTTGGACAAGCTGGAGGGCACTTTCCCCCTGAAACAATCTGCAAAGTGAAAGACAGGAAAAGACCACCTGCTAGTGAACCAGGCACCTGGAGGCCCTACATCCTCAGGAAACACGACTTCCCTTATGGAAAGGGTGAAACTGAAGGCCCCGGGGACCCCAGTGGCAGCTCACCTCTGACTGCCTTATCTGAGAGGTCACGGAAGTTTCTCTCAAAGAACTACAATAAGCAAGAGATGCAACACAGAATTATGATCCAAATGGCTGCCTTCCAAAGCACGGAAGCAAAAATAAAACTACATTTTAACAAAAAGAAGCAGAAGACCAAGATGTTTATGAAGATACAAGAAAACCCCCACAATGCATAAATATGAGGCATGGCAAGCTACTGTTATTGATTAATGAGAGGAGAAATTATTTTGAAGAGATCCTCAAAATTTGTCAGCTGGATTAACCAGTTTTGATACCAAAGCCAGCTCAATTTCTAATGCCAAAGTGGCTTTTTACTAAAGCATGCAATGTACTTATATCCCCATATGTACATCAGTCTCCTGATCAATAAGATGTACACAATAAAGCAACCTTTGTACCTCTGCCACAGGAGTAATACGCACGAGGTCACAAGGCATTAATCTGATCTTCTTAGATCTGAAGGATCATAGACATCACTGGTCTGACTTTCTTATTGCTGTTTAAATAGATAACTTCTTTTTCAATAATAAAAATGTCCATGCATGCCAAGTTGCAAATATATCATGTTCCTGCCGGCGTCATTTCCTCCAGTACACGGTGGCAACCATGGGAAACGGTTCAGATTGCCTCGTTCAAAGGTAGCACAAAGGCGTGGCTCATGTATCTTTTCCTCTTCGGCCCTTGTACTCAGACCAAGTGCACGCATGGTCTATAAAACGGGTGTGCACAAACCCATCTCAGCCACTGTGGCTTGGATGCTTACAGGCTTTGGCGTTCTCCTAGGGAGAGAACACAAAACTGCGAATTAGAAAAGTTAATTTTTAGGTTAAAAGAAATCTCAGTAAACTACAAATGTTAAAAAAAATCTGAGAATCACATTCCCAGCTCCAGCTCCCCTTACCAAGATTTTCATCCTGCCTGTGGCCACCATGAAGTATGGCAGAGGGAAATCCAAAGAAGGAAGAATTAGCAGTTTTCCTCAACTGCAGTTACAGTATCTTAATGGTTCTCATTTTACAGAGCAAGACCAGCTGACCACACTGTGAGTGCTCCTCCCAAGCTTCAGAGGGGACTTGGTAGGACGGGGTCTTGGCACCGGAGCTTCCAGCTTCCAGGAAAGGTAGATGTTGCTGAAAAACTATGAGCGAGGAGGAGGGTGGACAGGTACCAATTAGATCTTCCTACAAGTCAGCTGAATCAGAGTCAAATCAACCTCGGGGCAGTCTAGAGCAAGGAACACCCTGGAAACTACCCGTTTTGGCCCTTAAGTCCCTAATTCCCAACTCCCCCTGCCTTCCAAGGGTCTGAGGAATAATAAGCCCCATGAGACATTTTCCCAGGCAAACTATTAGGCCATTGCGCTCGTCCTGTAACGCGGAAGCCCCACCCACGCTGCAGGGAAGGCCATTCCACTTGGAACTGGAAGGAACTGTCAAGCCCGCTGGGCTCCAGCTCACCCTCAGGCACAGGGCAGACCTGGACACCTTCAGCGCCCTCTGCTCTCCGCCACAAGGAAGGGATCAGATTCCTTTGCTAGGTAAGCTCCTCAGTCATCGGAGTACGGCTCACACAGGAAGCCCAGCAGTTGCGTTCTGTTAGTAAACCCTCCAAGCCCTCCAGGGAGCCCCTACTATCCGGGCTGCTCCGCGCCTGACACGGTTGAGTTTCGCGGAAGACACGCCGCTGAGTGTGGTGCCCGGGCTGTGGCTGGCGGCCACGCACAGGGGGTTTCCTTCGGCTGACGGCGACCGCGACGCAGCAGTCCCACCAGGCCTCGCACGGAGGGCTCCCTGGACGGCTCCACACAGGTGCTCCGGATCAGCTCCCGGTCTCGACTTACTTGGGTGAGTTTTTTCAAGGAAAATCTATGATGTGACTAACGGCTCGCCAGCAGTACAAAGAGATCATCTCAGCCTTGCACGGTTTTGAAACTTGCTCCTGTCATCTCCTGTTCCCCATCGAGCCGTGTCGCACAAGCCTTCACCAGAGGCCCCAACCCGAGACCCCAGTGGCCCGTGGGCCCTGGAGCCACTCGCGTTCGGACAAAGCTCCACTCCGCAGTGACACTCAGTACCGGTCCGGGCCGCTGGCCCAGCAGTGAGGCCGGACACAGCCCAGAAAGGATGCACTGCGGATCCCGAAGACTGGTGATGTCGCATGTTCCTGGTTTTATACCCAGGAAAATACACAGGAGGTTAGAGAAAGAAAACTGCGTTTCTCTTTCAAATGGATTCGACACCTCAGCAACTGACAAAAGCAAGGCAAGCCTTACTGTTTTTCGCTCGTGGAGGATTTTGGGGTGTGGTGAGTGTGAAGAAAGTATGTTGGAAGCGTCACTCCTCTCCGTGGGGTCCCCAGCCTCTCCCTGCGCTGTCTTGTTCAGACTATGTTCTTCAGGAGGACAGAGATGTCCAAACGGAAATCCCAGGGGCTGTTACCGGCCGTACCCAAAGGTAGAAGAATCTCTCTTGAATGGTGGGCGCAGACTCCTTTTCTTTTGCCAAGTTCCCCGCTCTGTGCCCGGCTGTGTTCTTCTTCCTGGAGAAAGTCTTCTAGAATTCTGGAGTCACCACATGCCCCGATTCTGAGGTGATTTCTGAGGAATATAAGGACAGCTGCTCGCAGGCCTGTGGGGTGGATCTGGACGGTGGGTTCTGCATAGGTCACCGACCTGACTTCCTCAGAGGAGACCCTGACAGAATGACCAACACGTGTGCACCGGTGAGCTGGCCACTTCAAAGTGAAGCGGGCTCCGTAACCACCTCCAGATTCGTGGAAACAGAGCACTGAGGCACAGCTAAGTGTGGAAATGTCTTCAAAGACCGCGCCAACACAGCATTCCTACCCAGAACACACTTGCTGGGAACCCTCGGACACCTTCGGCCCGTGCCCGTGCGCGTGTAGCTGCAGTGTGCTGCCCCTACCTGAGCCAGAGCAGCAGCTGGTGGGCCCAGGGGTAAAAGGCTAAGAAGTCAGTGTGGTCCCGACGCCTCCAAGAAGCTGCATGGGCTCTGAGGCCACAAAGTTCTGCTGAGGCCAGGGCTGAGGCTGAGCGGAGCACCCGCCAGCACAAAAAAACATCTGCTGAAATGAGCCAGGGATGCACAAAATTCAAACAATTATCGTGGGCTTCAGTCCTCAAACTTTCACCACCTCTACTCCGACACTAGTGACAATGGCCAATAACAGTTTTCTCAAAGTTACCATTTCATCTCATAGTCACAACCCATCCATTCAAAAAAGGAGAAAGAAAAAAAATATATATATATATATCAACATGTATATGTGTGTATGTGTATAATTAGGCCAGGACTGTGCTAGTTACATGTCTAATCTTACTACATTATTGTTATATTGTGAACATTAGCATGCCATAAATATTGTAACAAGCTCTACATGCCTGCTGCATTGTTACATTACAGTAGTAACACATATCCTATCAGGAATGTTACTGCAATGCCGTGACGTTAATAATGTCTTACTTAATACCACGGTCCATGTTCTGGTAGAAACTGTCTCCTGTAATGTGGAGACTGTGGTTATCAACCTGACTGCACGATTCCCCACTGCTGGAAACATTCATGTAAAGACCATCTAAAGACTGACTCATGTGAACTTTATATAAACAAACGAGACATCTGACAAAGCCCTTGGATGCTGCCTCTTCTGAGAGGGGATTCCCCCAGCCAACCCCCCAGCTCCAGGAAGGGGTCCCCAAGGCAAGGGGTCCCCAAGCCCAGGGGAGGCCCCTCACCCTCGACTGGGGATGTGCAGCTGAGGTCTCCAGGAAACGCCTCCTCTAGCCTTCACAAGTGGTTCCCAGAGCCTTTCAAGGACAGATACTCAACTTATTGGCCCTCATCAACAGCTTCAGGTTTAGGAAATTTTCGTGTAATCTACTCTCATGTCCCACCCGATCCCATGTCACACCTGGAGGCACCGCCCCTTCCACCCTGTGGCGGCCCCAGGTGGTCAGGTCCCCAGCAGAGGCCTCCCCTTCCCGGCACGCACACCACCACCAGGCAGACTGAGAAGGAGCCCAGCGTGGATTTGGTAATAGAAAAAATAAACTTGGAGGAAACAAGAGTATTAATTAGAGACCTCCCTTGTTAGTAAATACATCAATAAGTTTCAAAACATTACTACAAAATGAAATACGTTTATTTTGAAGTAAGCTATATTCTGATGTGAAGAACATTAAAACATGAATTATAAAAATAAAAAATACATTTTGGCTTTGTCTTCTGAAAATGAGTCCAGGATTTACATAGTTGCCAGGGATTCACCCCATCGTGGACTGGTAAATGCCATCTCCACTGCTTCAGTTCCAGGGTGCCACTGAAACACATTCTTTAGTGCGTGGCCCACTAGAGGGGCACAATAATGCCAGTTTCCTTTATTCCTAGATATATATTTGCTGGGAATACACAGACAAAAAAATCCCTAAGTTTCAAATTCTGTAACGGGTTTTACGTTAGCCCTACGCTTAAGACCTCACTGATGGCGTCCTGTTTTATACTATGGAAAGTTGTGCTGAGAAAAATCCAGATGATTCATGACAGTCTGATCCTTTACACCTCCAAGTAAGTTCTTGCACCAAAGACCATTGTTATTTAAAAATCAACAACAGGGGGCGTGCGGAGAAAGACACAGAATGTCCAAGAGGCCCCAACTCCTCAGCAGCGCAGCAGCTCCCAGGCCACACTACAGAGTGAACTCGGATCGAACTACCGCCATGGCTTTGGACGACTGTGTGCAGATGTGGTTGAATTATCAATCCACACAGACACACAAACCGGGTCCAATGTCACTTCTCCTCATTATGTTAATAGTTAATACATGCAAATGAAAACACTCTAGCAATTTGATTTCTTTGAAGATAGTTTGCATATTGTCTTAGCCGTAATGACTGTACACTTCCCTCAGCCTGCATTTGTGCGAGGGTAGTGTAGTTCATTTTTATCAGCTCAAGTTCATTTCAGTTGCTACTGGAATGTGTGTGTGTCTCTTTTTTACCTTTAGCCTAATTACCATTCAGGTACCATAAGCAGATTTTTCATGCTATTGGTGTTTTTCTTAATTAAGAAACAAATGAATTCTCCCTAGCAAAAAAGATGGAACAACAGAATGAGATGCCAGGGGCTGATGTTCTGTTTCTTAATTGAAGCAGTTCTATTGTTCGGTGTTGGCAGTGAGGGGGCAGAAATGTCATAAGTGTAGAATGTTAATAGTACAAAAATCACATAAAACTACCTTTAAAAATAAAGAAGGGATACAAAAAAATGCTGTAAGAGCTTTGGAAACACAGATTTTTATCCACATAATAATTCTGACAGTAACAAAGTAGCTTCATTTACAAATCCCTCACACCCGGAAAGCCGAGGTTCTAACCCTAGTCCTGGGAGACGCTTGCAGTCTAGTTCCCTGGATCTGCTTCTGTGTGCTCATCAATTAGGGAAGGACCCAGGGGAACAATTTGTTTCTTTAATTTGTGAAGAAGCCATTTCTTTTAATTTGCATGCTTCTTTTTCTACCTGCATTAAAAAATCTCAGTTCTACCCGTAGATCACATATGCATTACTGAAACCTTAAAATAAGAGGCGTGCAGATTAAGTGACACCGCCCCCAGGGCTCTGAGAGCCCTGAAAACTTCAAGGAGTCGGGTTTTAAGAGACGGCTTCATCCTCTGCTCCTTCTGATGCGGATGCTGCCGTCATAATACTGGAATTGTGAATGGCATAAAAGGTAGCTTATTTTTCTCTTTAATAAAAGCTATGGACAGATATTTTTTCATTCATTCATGGCTTTCTTTTCCTAAATTACTAATGTCTCACTTTAGAATTTAACTTAGATTTTTAAAGATGTAAACCCCTCATGTATTTAAAAAAGCCAATAAAGATTAAACAAGCATCATGTAGACTAATACTATTTTTTTTCTGACAAGGAAAGAACATTATAAAAATGGTCTCTACAGATAAATTTCTAAATTACTGAGTTTTTAAAATTGATAATGATAAATCCATATTTGCTATCTTTCGGTTGTCTGAGTTACGTAAGGGATCCCTCTCATAGTCCAATACAGTGAAGCAAAACATATCTTCAGGCCATTTCTTCCTTACAGGAGAAAGGGGAACTAACTCACTTTATTATAAATATCACTATGCACAGTGATTAATAAATATGGCCCTCTATTTTTTAAAACCCTGTACGTTAGGATAATATGGAATATCACAGAATATCTTTAGGTTGCTCTAAAAGCGTAATTTGTGGATTTTGAAAAGTAAAGGCCAGAAATAATTTTAAATTGAGATGATTTTTA